AAAGCAGAAGCATGTGGTGGCTTGGCTCCACCAGCAACAGCAAGAGTCACCAAAGCACAGCCACGCGAATTTGTTCTTTGGATCCTCAATCAAATATTTTAAGAGACTAATAAGTGAGAGTGAGTTTTTTTTATGTAAAGTAGTTTGATGGACATAAGTGGCATCTTAGTTGGACATAATAGACTCTTTCTTCACTCAAGAGTTCAACTTGAATTTAATTAATTCATTGTGTCCTTTTCAAACTTCTCCAACAAACATTCTTTGTTTTGTCCTCTCCAATCTGATGCAATCCATCCACCTCCTCATTCCCTTTACCTAACCAACCGACCAACATCCATTTCCATGCACATTCCTCCCTCGAGAAAGAGAGGAAATGGTCAAGTTTAATCCATTCCTTTTATGTTTCTCACTTCTCACACATTATCCTCTCATTACTTTCATGTATTAATTCCGGATTCTCGTTTATTTTTTTAATATTTTTTTTAATTACCGTGCCTCGAAGTTTAAAAGAGTACTCGAAGTTTAAAAGAGTTTTAATCTAATATTTTTAAGTTTCGAAGAGAAGATGATATCATATTATATATATAATTTAGTTTATGTTATATTAATAAAAATCTTTCAATATTATTAAAAAATTTAATTTATGAGAGATAAAAGTTGAATATTTTCTTAAAATATATATATAGAGAGAGGTTAACAGTAAATATTAAATTCATTAAAAAATATAATAATATCATGAGATTGTATCAAGTGAAATGAACAAATAAAAATGAAATTCGAGTCAAATTTCTAATATAAAAGACAAATTCTCGCAACAATAATACACATTGGATATATGTCAAGCTTTTTTTTCTAATATATTTCAAACAATAATAACCAATAAAATGCAAATAACCCAATCTCATAAACCAAAACCTAACTCACTAATAATTTTTAATAATAATAAAAAAAAAACTTCCCACTCATTATTATGAATTTCTTCAATTGTGTCGGTAAGCACTATTGATTATATCTAAGAATGATTTAGAAAATTTATTAGTGATTAAATCAACAAGTTTATGACGCACCTTAACCTATGACTTTTTCCTTTCTTATAAGGTGACATGACATCAATGTACTTAGTTTTGTTATGTTGGGTAGGTTTTCCTATAATGGCAATCACTATTTGTTATCTCAACAAAACTTCAATTGGTCTTTACCTAAATTACCAAGCAATACATAACCATATTCAACAGTTTCTAAACACATATTGATTGTGTTATTAATTACTTCTTCTTCGTTTGAATTTTGAAAAAAAATAATCATAAAACAAATTACAAATACGTATCTTGATTTAAACTCCTCTTTCTTATGCTCTCTAAAGACTATTTTATGCATGGAAAACTTTTAATGTAGAGTGCTATTTTTTTGAATTAATTATTATAGCCTAGTTTTTTTAAGAATATTAATTAGCATATTTTCTTTGTGAAATATAAATACTTGATTTCAGTTACATTCAGGATGTCAAGATCAATCATCTCCAGAGACTGATATTAGGGTTAAAAAGTAAATAAATGGAAAAAATAAAATACAGAAAATAAGAATTGAAAGAGTAACAAATTTGTAATTAAAAAGAAAAAAATGGAAAATAAACTCTGCCAAAGTGAAAATATTTTTTCAACACTAAAATGTATGAATCTTCCAATACCAAAATAAATATCAAACTTGTAATAAAAGTTTGATTCATTTGGATAAGTACATTTGTTGATAGATACGATGAAAGAAAGGTTATTTTTTTAGTTTTTGAAATTTGTTGTAATGAACTAATGAAGCTCATAATTTATTATTTTGTTCTCTTTATCACTTTTGTTTTGTAAAACAGGATGATTGATTATATGTTTTAGAAATTGGTTTATTAAAAATTCATGCATTATTATTATTATTATTATTATTATTATTATTATTATTATTATTATTTGGCTAATTACACTAGTTTTCTAATTGTTCAGAATGATAAAAATCAACTTAATTGATTATTTTTCATCTATGATGAAACTTTAGTTTATTATTGAACATTAGAATTAATTACCTGAAGTAATAACTGATTACAACACTAAAAATTCATTATAACATAATAACAAAGTTTATCTTTGATTTAACCTTTCATATCCTATATAAAGAGATTTATTTATATTCATTATAATCATAAGCCATTTATGAAATTGAGAAAGTACATATTTTAATGAAGATTTAATAGAATTTTCATGAAGATCAAAGAGTCCATTGGGTTTATTTTTTCCTAAGTCAAGGTGTGGTTGTCACATATAAGGTATGATATTAAATTTTATGAAAATAAAATATTTTAATTAATTACAAAACTCTAAAAATAGAGGTTTAACCAGTTTATTTTTCATAATTTATATTTTTTATTTCTCTAAATATTGAGCAATGGCATATCTAGTTATTTATATAAAAAAATTACTTTTTTGTTCTAATTATAAGAAATATATATCAAATTCATTTTATAGTACTCTTAATTTATTATGAGGTTTATTCATGAAAGCTTCACTACTCATTTCCATGAATTGAATGCATTTATTGAGTTATTAATAATATAACACATACTCAATGGATAAAAAAAATCATCTCTTCAACCACTATTAATGTTATTAAACATAATCACCGCATAAATAATTTAAATATATAAATTATTTTTTTCAAATAAAATTATAATTTATGACTTTATTAACTTAAAAGTTTAGCAATTTCTGTTACTCTTGATGAATTGACTAGTTATTTCTTATATATAAGAGCAGAGAAAGTATCAAATAATGTTAATTTAATATATTATTTATTTAAGTTTTATTATATTTCTGTTTAACTAAATTATTTATTTGTTTTTATGTTTTTCTTACCTATTATTTCTTTCTATCTCTTTCATCTATGCCCACCATGTGTAAGTGATTTCAAAGTGCATACTTAGAAAAGCAAAAGATAATGCAGAATTTATATATATATACTTTGAAATTATATATGTTATTATGATTAAAAAATTAAGGAATTAAACAACTTTTTTTTAATATTTCAGAATTTCGTTAAAATATAAAATTTTATATTTATTAAAAAATGAAATTAAAAAACTAAAACTTATTTAAATCTAGTTATAATTATGAAAAAGAAAGAAAACAAGTATATTGAATTGTTAAACAATACATAATAAAGATAATGAAATGCTAATAGTACATTATTCTTTTAACTTTACCCTTTTACACATTGAATCACACCACACGAGTTAAACAAGAATATTTTTTACCTGATACTAAAAAAAATGGCAAATCATATATCACTAACAAAGGTAAACAAAGAAAACACCTTAATATTATTATATAATTAATTTATTAGTAACTTGAAACCCACATTTCTGACAAGTTCCTGTCATATTTGAGAAAATCAAATTCGTGTTGGTGACTCTTTGACTAAATTAATATGCCGACTGCTATTGAATATTCATCCATTCTACTGAATTTGTGTTCAGACATTCAAAATTGACAACACCTGGTTATTCAAAAAGTCCATTTACCATTCTCTGCACAACATTATAATTTTACACAATATCTTTTGGAACATGGTTTAAGTATCTATCACCAACGATAAATCAATGTGAGTAATAGTATATTACTTCACAAGAAAAACACTAATCTGTGTTTATATGAATCTAACTGATGAGTAAGTATAAAAAAATTGGATGATGTGTAATAATATTAGTAGAGTATTGCTACCATCTGAAGAGTTGGAATTATTGACTGAGTGGTTGAGAATGATGAGATGTCTCTGACCATCAAACTCTCTTCTGGTTTTGCCTCATTTAAATAATTTCCCCAACTTCACTCACATCCAATCCAAACAACTCCTATATGCAGCAATGTTCAGTAATAAACAACCAATTATATATAAACATGTGTGTGTGAGTGTGAGGGCCACAACAACCCTTTAACTTCTGCTCTCTGGCCAACATATTATGGGTGCACAAACCAACATCCACATATCCATAGACATCAAATGAAACTTAACACGTGCATGCAACACATACTCATCCCCTATCCTACTTCCATTGATGCATGTAATCACATGACAAAATAATATCATTAGTCTCACCACCATAAAAAACCAGCAATGTGTTACTATGAATGATAAAACTCTTGTTCTTGAATTTGAGATCCTGAACTAGTCTGACATTATTAGAGTAAATGATGTAAGTATTTGATGGTGTTTGACAACTGTTATTAACCTTAGAAAGAATGGTTGGGTCCATTGGCCCCACTGTTACCGCCACTCTCTTTCCCCTAATGAGAATGCATTAGAAAAACAAATTTAGGCCATGGACCGTAGTGTACTTGTCTTCTTTTTTTTCTTTGCCAACTTTGTATTTGCATTGGTGGCCAAGTCTATCTAATTAAATTATTATAGCATCATCATGCACATCTACGTTCATTTCACAACACAACCAAAACTCATACAGCACTGCCAACGGCCTATATCCCTCCACGTGTCAACCACCCACCTTCACCTTAAGGGTTAAGCACTTCTCTCTCTTTCCCATTCTATAATAGTAGCAACTGAGCAGAAAGAAAACTGAACTCGTAGGTTATTACCAAAGACTGCATTCATTTTTATAGGATTGCCTCGTCTACAACTACCCCCATAAACAGTAATCAAACCCTTCACCACACACAACCTTCAAGTAATTTTTAATAACATCATAAATAGGCATTAGATATAGACATCTCATAAAAGACATGCTCACTTCTTCTTATCACCTTCATAGGCCTTTCTTCGTTCCCATAAACCACTCCAAATCATCAACTTCCTTAGACCTTCACACCCTTTTGGCTGTAACCAACAATCTGATCCTCCTGTTAACATTCAGATTTATTTCTCTCCTAGCACCTCGATCAAAGGGCTAAATTCTTCTTTCACGGTTGAGTTCTAAGCAGGTTTCTTCAAGGGGTGAATTTAAAACTATGGGTTTAAGTTCTAAGCAGGTTTCTAGCAGTGGACTTGATTGGAAACAAACCTTATTGGAAGCTCAAGATTTGGAACTTCCAAAGCCTAATCTGATGAGGAAACAACAGCAGCAGCAAGCTCAGCCTTCTGAATCTTTGAAGTGCCCAAGATGTGACTCTTCCAACACCAAATTTTGTTACTACAACAACTACAACAAGTCTCAGCCTCGCCATTTCTGCAGGGCTTGCAAGAGGCACTGGACTAAAGGTGGAACTCTACGGAATGTTCCAGTAGGTGGTGGAAGGAAGAACAAGAGGGTCAAAAAATCTAACACACCAACACCGTCTTCCACCACTGCCACTACTACCCCCATCACAGCCACCCCTTCTACTTGCACTGGCACTGTCACGACCTCAATCGGCAACATGGATGCTATGTTAGGTAGTAGCCACGTGACAATTCAAACTCCTCTTGCAGATGATCAGAAAAACATGGCTTCCTCTCTCTACCAAGCTCTAATTCGTCCACCACCTTTGCTGCTACAACAGAATCCGATGAACACAAGAGACTTAGACGGTAAAGATTTTGGTATTGGTATTGGTATTGGTATTGGTAATAATGGTATCTTCCCGAGTTCAACTTTACCTCTTCCTCATCAAAGCCAAAGCCTACTCTTCCCTTTCTCAACCTCAAGCAGCTCTTTTGACACCAACCCTTGTTCAGTGTCAACCTCTCTGAGATCCTCCCATGTTTACAACTATGGGGAGGAGTTTAAAGCAGTGGAGGAACCAACCATCAACAGTACTACTGTAGTGCCTAGCACAGGTGGCACTAACACACAGCCATGGGAGATAGCGGCAACAAGTGGTGTTGGCTTGGGAACTTCAAACTATTGGAATTGGGACGACTTTGATTCATTGGTCTCAACTGATCTGAAAGATCCCTGGGATGATTCTGATATCAAACCCTGAGACCAAACAATAAGCAACACATGGTACTGGTAGTGTCCATAGATTAGTTATTTAATTTAATTGGGGTGTTTTGTGTTTCATACAGGTTAGTAAGTGGTTTTGTTTTTCCAGATGAGGCATATTCTGTGCTGGTCTTTCTGCACCTGTAATTCTTTCAAACAGAAGTATTTGGAGCTGTCATGTTTTAGTTTCAGCTTCAGCTTCAAGCAAAGGGTTCAAAATTCCTGATTACTTGTAACCACTCTGTTTGCCTCTTTGCTTATTCCTCTATCATTTTCTCTAATCTCTAATAAAGTGGTGTATTAATGTATGCAAGTAGTTTAGCATTATTTATCAGTATAGGATTTTTATTTTTATTTTTATTTTTGGAGTTTCTGAGTGCTTTGTGATGGGAGTGATATAGATATGGGGTCTGCACCAGCACTGCTGAACTGACAGAATGTGATTGGAAGATTCTTTGGACATGTATATATCTTGAAACGATATTATCATACGGATTTTATTGCTCATGATTCACCATCCCCACCCCCCCCCACTTCCTGAGAATCATTCTTTGATTTTGGGAATGAAAGAATTCTAGTTGTACATTAATTCATTATATTATTATTCTATACCTATCTTATGTTTCTGGATCATGCCTCTGTGGCTTTAAGGTCACATGGTGTTTTCATCTTTGTTCCAATTTAATAAAATAGTAAACAGTGTATGTTATCTTGAGCAATTATATATATTTTCTAGGCTCTGGCTCTGGTGAATTGTCAGTTTCTTGTATTATTGAAGATCTGTGGAACACTGGTCGACTCCATAGGCACAAATTGAGAGTTTTTAAGTCTTTTTGAATGAAATTTAGATCTACCTTGGTGGGTGAATGAGATGCAATCTATTAGTGTGATTGTTCCATTTGAATATTTAGATTAATTGGTAAACACAAGGAACTTTGTACTTTATGCATGTGAGGACTGAAGCCTAATCAGCAGCCACAATGATGATGATGGAACACGCATGCGTTTCCCATATACTGTATTATAACTATGGCTTGAAAATATTCACCCACCTTGCAACTTGGGACACTAAACGACGCCACAACTCCCAGTCTTTCTCTTAGCTACCTAATATGTTACTCACACTCATAGTGCTGCTGTGAGAGAAATGAATAAACTGAACCATCTCACATTTCCAATACCTACAGTTTTGGTTTCTTGTAATTGTGTGCGTATATAATAGTTCGTACAAATATGTTTTTGGTACCTGAAATTGTTTATGTCAGAGGCAGAGAGTAAAGAACCCAGTGGGACCATATCATTCATCCTTGAAAAGTATTGTTTCTTATTATTAAAATTCATGAACTACTATGATAGTATTGATTAAAATGTGTATATGGCTTGAGAGATTATGGATTCCTTACTCTGCTCCCATAATTATCAAAGTGAAAGACAACCCATAGTGGAAACAGAAGTACTAAATCTGCAGTGAAGAAAGTAAGAGATTTACATTGGACCACTCCACAGTGATGCAACCATGTCTTTGAAAGTGCATAGGTATTTGAAGAATTGAGGAGGGGAGTGAGTGAGGAAAAAAGTGATGTGATTGAATTCAAGAGGGTAATTGAAATGAAGGCAATGAATAATGGTGGAATAGGTGTACATAATGAGTAGGGCAGTTAGAAAGATTGGACCATTTTGATAAAACACAACTGCTATCTTTGGTATCTATCACTATCCACTCTTTTTCTTATCCTACAACTCTCAAAGGTGGCTTGTTTTTAAATGCCCAAATGAGCTTCTTCTTCTTCGTTTACATTTTAAAAACTGTTATATTTTTAATCACTTCTTTTAATAATTGCAAACTTTTTTTTAGTTGTCCAATGAAATATCAAGCATGACAAAAAATGAACAAATATGTTTTTGAAGAAAAATTTGTTTCGAAAAACAGTGATAAAGTTTAGATTCCTAAACTAAATCAAAAAGTGAAACTTGTGTCGTTAGATTTAGTTGCACAAAAATAATCGAACCAACCAGTACTTAAATTTGAAAATAGTCATAGACATTATGAAAATCACGTGAAAGGTGAGGTTCACATGCAATAAAATAGTTAAAAATCTATTATTAGATCTTTTATAATTGCTAGTGAGATTCACTTTTTTACGCGATTTGAACTATGTTATAACTTTTTATTATTATTTAAACAATAATTAGGATATTTAATTTTCATATAAATTAATATAACATGATAAGTTTCATGTCTTGAATTAGTTTAAAAAAAAGTTCAATAAAAAGACTCGTTTAATAAGGTGAATGGAAAATTAGTCTAAGAGATGAAAAAATTGATCCCGAAGAAAGAAAACTCTCATAAGTGAGGGTTTTACAAGTTAATTTCTTTGATGGATGCATGTGAAAGGTATCATCAACAAAGCAATCAAATTGAGAAAGGTAATAACACATAACAAATCATACACGCTTTTATAAAAGGGAGACAAATTCTCAGAATATATTTTGTATTAGGTCTAATTATATATTTGTATAGGTTTTTTAATTTTTTTTAAACTCTTCCTAATGAAATTAAACTTTGTTTATTATTTTTTAAAATATATTTATAAGTTCTCTCTTTAAGAAAAATTATTAAAAAATTAGTCAAACACAATCTGAATATTTGACTATTGACGTCAAATTGGCTTTAAAGACACGTTGAGCTCAGCAGCCAAGTTACGTCATGCTCAATAATTTTAAAACAGATAAGTCTCCCATCGTATTCACTGTAAAATGAGATTAATTTACTGCTTATAACCAATAATTAGAAAGGATTGGTATTATTTTCTCTCGTGGCAACAACTATTTTTTTTTCTAACAAATTACAAACGTCGATTCAAGAATAAATTTATTGAAGATCAAGCTTTAAACTTATAAAAAAAGCTATTAATTTTTATAAAACAAGAAAACGCTATTAAAAATACCCTACATATGTAAGTCTATTTTAAATATATATATATATATATATATATATATATATATATATTTCTTAATTTTTATTATAGGTTTTATATATTTGAGTCATCTTATAATAACATTAAGTATTAATATAGAGTTTAACTCACTATAATTTATGTTGGATTTTGCATTTAACAAATCCAAAATAATTAAAAATATTTTTTTATTGTGAAACAAAATAAATTAAATTTGATTAACCTATGAGTTAAACTAATTGAGTTACTTGATAATAATTTACCTATGACTCGTTTTTATTTCACTCTTATCATATTCGTGTGAGTGCGAATCTGTGAAAAAAATAGTTAAATATTTTTAATTTATTCACTATAATAATTAAAAATAAATAAATAAAACATATTTTATGTCAATCCACCCGTTTAACAGATCAATTTGTAACGATCAAATTAGATTATAAAATTTTTAAATCACTAGAAAATAAATTGAGTTGATCTGAACTCAACATACATATATATGTAAACTAGATAGACTCAACGCACCCCTAATATCACTAATATTAAAAAAGATATTTAGAACAAGTGATTTTGTTATTTATAAAATGTAAGAACACTCACGAATTAGACATGGGTCTCGTAGCAGTATGACCCACAGCTTGAAGCAGCACCTATTGTGACATGATTGAAGAGTGAAGAAGAAGGAAATAGTTAAGACATGGGGGTGTTTTCTCAACAAGGTTCACAATAATTTACAAGTAGGCTTTCACATCCACTAGGGTAGCCAACATAACATTACAAACAATTTCCCCACAACTACTACTACTACTACAAATTGCTCATCCTCACACCAGTGTCACGAGCGTAGGGATGGGGACCATTATTAACTTTTGAAAAACTAACGTAGTAGAGCTCCGAGGTTATGCCTGTCAAAACAATGAAGGCTGCTCCTGCGCCAAATACCCCCTTCCTCAAGGTCTGACATGAAGGGGCTCTCTCCCCCATCAGATCACGGTACTTGGTATGGTAAGCATTCCTCACTGAACCCGCCAGCAGGCACGCAGCAGCAATCATAAATGTCACCCTGGATCATGCATGCAACAACAACTTTGCACATTTACCATTGTGTTGTGAACAGGGAAAACATCATATCAGGTCTCTTGTATGTAATGTAGCCTTTCAGCTTGTTTGGTTTCACCTCAACAAGTATTTTGTAATCCTCTTAACTCATGTCTTTCTTGTTTGAAGTGTCACGCTGTCAAACACATTTCTTCTGACACTAGCACCTCTCCAACACTGGTTTAACACGTCTCAAACACTTTTATTAGATTTAAAACATTGTTTTTGTCGGTTTGGACATTTAAGTCAATTCTCTACAAAGACATTTGAGGTGACACTTTCATATGGATGGACACATGCTAATATTATTAACAAATTATTCATATTTCAACATATGTAGAGAAGTTATCTAAATATATAATATAAAATATTAAAATTTACAAATGCTGCGTACGTGTCATGTCTTGTTTCATGACTGTAATCTATTTTTTATTTTGTTAACTGCTTTCAAATTTTTGTGCTGGAAATGTAAAGCAATGTTGTTATAACGGTGAAAAACTTAGAGAAGTGAAAATAAGATGATATTTATATAATTACCAGAGAGTAGAAATAGAATAACATTTCTTTAAAACTAAATAGAGCAATTGATTCTGTGAATTGAAATAAAAAGAATAATTTAGAGCAAACATATTAATTTCTGTTTGAAAGACTAGGATTCAATATGAACACATACCAGCTGGTGATGAATAAGCAAATTGCCCATGATCTGGATCCACTGGGACTCATAGCTTTCCCACAGCACAGACACCTAGTTAAAACCATAATGATCACTTGACTGGCAATTAGTATGAACAATGACCCCACACCTAGGCCGGTTGCAATGTCAGAGTCATATTGACAGTAGTTTCTCCCCGCACTGTCCTGAGTTAACGAGGCCTGTCAGAACAACATAGAGTTACACTTCAAGTAAACCCATTTCAACACTGCAAAAATTTGTTTCTGGTTTTCACTTCTCATCCCATCTCAACTTCGCACCCTACTTTGCAAGGAAACAATACAGCTTGAATGCTGAACTACTAGCTACTTAGTTTGCTGTACAGTGAAAATTTTAATCCATACAAACAAACGTTGTTTCCCTCAAATCACAACTAATGCATCTTGGAATTACTAAATCCATTGCAATCAAAGTATGCAAATTACATTAGCTTTTCACCCTTCATAATGGTGTTGTTGGAAAACATTCATAAAATTCTGCTTTCCATTTTCTAGAAGTATAATTCAGGATCGAATAATGAGGTAACATTGAAGGAACAAGTTGGTTCAACTGACAAATCTTTTGAAATGAGAATAACACTCCCACGTTGACTGAGACCATAGAGATCAGCTATGTTTGGAAGTAAAGGAGAAATCACATCTCTGAATAATATAAAGAGATTCTCAACCCAACTGAAAAATAACCTCTTTACAGTTTCATTGTACCCTAGTATAAAACATAGGATTCATGTCTAAAACAAAAATTGTTGTCTAAGAAGGGAAAAAAAAGGAACTTGATGCAGACAATATGCTAGACATTGAAAACAAAAATTTAAGTAAACTCCCTTCCCGAACAAAGAACGTATGGAAGAAGTTAAACTCGTGTAAACTGAATACATTGTTTGTGGGAATTTCAGTCACTGAAATGCTACAAATGAGAATTTCTACGTGTTCGCATTTTCTTCAAACATTATGACTAAAAGGCTACAAACAATGACCTTTTTCTCTGGTTACGACCGTGAATAAAAGAACATTGAAAACAGAGCAAATCAATGGTTTTGCGATTGGTTTCAATATCAACACAGTAACGAGGATGACATATTACTTTCACTTATTTGAAAATACTAACCATATCTGGAGAGTTTTTTTTTTTTTTCTTTTTTTTCTTGTCGTGGTGTGGGGATTTGATTCGTTAAAAACGAGTATTGAAGCCATCGTATTTAACTTTATTATTATTATTATTATTATTATTATTATTATTTATACACTATCAAGGGCATATTTGGATAAACAAGTTAATAAATGTTCGGATTAATCATTTTGAATGTATTTTTGAATAATTATTTAAATAGATAATTGTAATAAATTATTGAACATAAGTGATTTTCTTAAATAAAAATTTATGTATTAGTTGTTTTTAGATCGGAGAAATAACAAGATTATTTTTTTAAATGCTTTGAAAGTTATTTTTATAAAATATCTTGAAGAACTTTTAGAAATAAGTTGAAAACAACTAATAAATATATCATAAGTTCTCCTTTATACTTATTCAAGTGCTTTTGTCATATAAACTAGGTAGAAATTTTTCATTTTGTCCCACTCAACTTTTCTTCCTCTTCATCACAACCCACTCCCTCACCCAAATATGTTAGATAAACTGCCACACGCAATTATTTGGGGGTATTCAGGTCACGAGGAGTAGTAACGTGGATCAATACCTTTTATCAAAATAAATATAATTAAAATATATAAAATAAGTATTGACAAAAATCAATTAGCATTTTTTATAATTACATTCATAAAAAAATTTAAATTCCAATATATATATATATATATATATATATATATATATATATATATATGTGTGTGTGTGTATTTCTTAAAAAAAATATTTGTTATCAAATTATTATAATGATGTCCAACATTTAAGAATAATCAATAATAATAAGAATTGTGTAAATTTAAATGAATGATAATATAAAATAATTAACATAAATAAAGAAAATATTGCCCTATACTTTTTTCAAAATGCGAAACAAACATTCGACAGCACAAAGGGTAGTTTAGTAGATTTTGAATTGCCTCTTTCCAGTATTCATGTATATCAAAATACTTTCAACCAAAAAATACTATATGAAACAATAAAATATTGCTAGTGCTGTACATCAGCATCAAGCACCAGAAAGAAGATGAACCAAAAGATTGTGTTGTAACTCAATAACTTGTTCAAATGTTGTTTAATTGTATTGTTCCTGAAAGTGCATCAAAAGCAACCTAAATGGGCTGGCCCTTGATAAGAGTTTGTATGCCACCATTTCTCTGTTTTAAACCTACATAGTGTAAAATTAGCTATATCTCACTTGTCTTTTGTTTTTGTAAGGTAGTGTTTGGTAATGTGTCAAAATCAGATAGAATTTGACATGAGTTTGATCTATGTTATATCTAGTGCGTTTTATTTATAAATAAATAAAAACACATAACACGTTGTTAAAAAATGGTACATTGTCATTCCACTTCAAAAGAGGAAAAAGAAATAAAAGGGACTAGAGAGTTCCATTCTGTTCTGCCCATGAGCCAAATGCTACTTTTAAGTTTCTTAATGATGAAGTTTAGATATTTCAATACAGAAAAAGAAGTTTTAGGAGGCAAAGATGCTGCAGATAGGACTATATACAATTGTAAGGCAAAGATCAGATTCTGCTTTTCTAGGCATTGATTTTCTGATGACAGCATCTAAGAGGAATCTATATCTTAACCTTGCTGGTTGAGTAGAGATCTATACTGAGTGTTAGACCTCTTCATGCATGTAAGCCAACTTTTTATTCTTAACCATTAAGAGTAATGGGACAAACAGTTGTAATCTCCAATATATTTTCTAACTTGTGCTTCCTACCCACTTGAGCATTTATAGTTTTTTTCATTTTCAAAATATGAGAACAGTAAATATCTTCATTATATAATAATGACTAAGATCAAAAGATAGTCTTACCCTTTTGGTGAATGACAAAAGATAGTTAATACTAACATCATCATTTGAAAAAAAATAAAATAAAATAAATAAATAAATAAATATATATATATATATATATATATATATATATATATATTATGCTAATATTAACTATTTGAAAAAATTTTAATAATTATCATTTCAGAAAATCATTTTCACTGGAGAGGTGAAAAAGACAAATCTAAAATGCATAACTATATATAAATAATCAAAATTAATAGTTTTTAAAATTGTATAACACGCAAAAATAATATTTAAATATTTTTAAAATCTTATGAAACAAATAGGTTTTAAATTTAGTCTTTTGTAAAAAAATAATTTAATTTATCAAAATGTTAAAATCATTGTTTTCTATTATTACGTGGTCTTCGTTAACTAAATAAAATAAAATAAAAATTATCTATTCATACAATTTTTTACCCCTAAAATAAATATTTTTTATCTATTTAAAAAGGGTATTAGAGATAAAATAACAATGTCATATTTTAAATGGATAGAAAATCATTTATACAGTAAAAAAAGCATTTTTAATAAAACCAAAATGATAACTTATACTAGTCCCTCCATTCCAAATCAATAATCCTTTATATATATATATATATATATATATATATATATATATATATATATATATATATATATATATATATATATATATATATATATCAAAATAATAGTATTTTTTACTTTTTTAAAATTATTTTTAAGTAATATATAATTAATACAAAATCCCTTATACTAAAAAAACAGAAGTAGTTAAAAAAATCAGGAATTTTGTGCACTACATTATATTAATTTAATATTTCTTTTTCACCATATCATAATCTAAAAAAAAAAATACTGTTTTAGAAAGAGAAATTATGTTACAATAATTAAAAATATATTTAACAAAATATAATATAAACAAAGGAAAACTTAGCAAGAGGGAGAACAAACTGTAAAACGTACTGAATTAACTGATCTTTTAATAAATAAAAAAAGTTAATAATAATAATAATACCATTATTAATTTCTGAGAAGAGCAATAACAATAAGTAATCCAAAATTTTTGACCTGAATGTCATAATATCTCTCTGTTTCCGAATTCAGATGGTGTCTAACCAAAGAAGAACGCAGAAGTAAACCAACCAAATCCAGATATTAAAAGAAAAAGGGAAAAGCAAAGTGTGAATGACGCGAAAAAGAGAGTAACTCACAGTGTTCCTCCTCTGCTCTGCAGCAACAGCGAGAGCAAAAGCAATCAGATCAAACACAAACACCACCGCCAGTAACAGAGATGAAGCCATGACTCACCTCTCTTAAATCTCAATATTTCTTCAGAAAAACACCCGAAAAACAAACTAATTAAACTCAGAAAGATTAAAATAATGTATTACGCTTTGAGATTTACAATAAACAGCAATAGAAACGCACCAGTATGCTTGGATTTTTCAGATGCGCGCGATTTTTCCTTGTTGAGAAGCAAATGGGAGAACAGCAAAGAAGATAGTTTGTAACTTTTCGATGCATTAAGAGCGTTTTAATTTAATTCACCAATAAAAAAATACTAATATTTTAAATTACTTTAATTTTTTAAATTAAAATTGTAAATTATTAATTATTTTCAACTATTTGTTACCATGTGAACCTTTTGATGTATATAAATTTTAAAATTGGTGTTTGACGGTATAGTGGGTTTTGCGCTGTCAGGATTTCGTTTGAAAGGTATTGGCATGATAGGGTGGGTGCGATATACGTGATGATCATCTCCCCTACTAACACGTCGTTAGAAACATGATATAACTTTGATAATAGCAATTTACACCGTTGATAATTATTAGTTCATTTACTAACCATACTGCATCGAAAGTTTTGTAGCCGTTAGATTTATAATATTGAAATGATGGTCAGGATAGATTGATGGCATCCTATTGTAAAGGTTTGCTTAAGGTGAATTTTAAATGATAATAAAACTGGGTATATACAACCATACAAATAATGCAAAACTCTTCTATATTAGGAATATTGGAATTTGCATATATTCTTGAATTTGAAAGAACTCTTCCAAAATAAATATGATTTTAACGAAAATATTAGTTTTATGATAAATATTATATAAATAATATATTATTTTAATTTTGACATTTTTTCTCTGAAAAAATAATGAAAATAGTAAATATTAAAACATTATCGAAGTCTGTAATTTTATTTATTAATGTAGAAAACATTGATTAAAAGAAATAAACAACAAATGGTCGTGTATATTTGGTACTATTTCCTCCAAAAGTAATTTTCATCAACATTGTAGTTTATTCTCTATTTATCTACTTCGTTTTAAATTTTAAATTTATTACATTTTCCACTTTTTATACTTTTAAAATACATTAAATAAATACTTATATTATCTGTAATATTATTTCTTCTTGCTTGTATTGTATTATTCATACTATCACATAGTGTTCCCTTTCTTTCATTTTCCTTTTCATTTATATAACGTATTATATATATATATATATATATATATATATATATATATATATTTATTTATTTATTTGTAGTCAACATTCATAATCTTCTATTTTATTTGATTTGTTATTCATTGATTTTTGGGTGGATCTTGAGTTGGTGATTGAAAATGGGGGAATAATGAAATTGGTGGGAGAAAGTTGATGATGACAGAAGAAGGAACCAAACACAGGATAAAGATAGAAGAAAAAGTCAAACAAGAGGAAAGTTGACGTGTTACTAAGAAAAGTTCCACAACACATGAGTGGATGGGAGACTTTGAAGACATCCAAATAAATAACAAAAACAATAATTCGAGTGAATTAGAGAAGTAACATAATTCCTTAATAGCTCCCGTTTTTTGGTTAGTGTCTCTTGTTTGGTCCCAAAAATTGGGTTGGAACATCCGATCTCGTTCAAAATTTGCCAGTTGAATATCTATCCATCTATATAAAAATATACAAATGTAGACATATAAATTATATGAATAGATTCATATGATAAGTAAAAAAATTGATACAGATACATTATTTATCATATTATATTTTAAATTTTTAATTCATAAAAATTAAAATAAAATATAATAATATTTTTTAAAGAGAAGAAAATTTATAAATTTTAATTACATATCTAATTTTCTCTTTTTTTCTTGTTTAATAAATTTAGTTTTTAATTTCATAACTTTTTTTATTTATCTTTAATATTTATTTCAAATAATTAACCTCCAAGTTCATATGACTAGTGTTAATGAGGAAATAACAATAGTTGAAGAATATTTGTAATGATGTTCTAATAGATAGCTAGTTAAGTGTGTGAGTAATTTTTGTTGAAACTAAATGATTTAATTTTTGTTTAAAATAAAAAACGTAAAAAGTAAAAGCAATTAGGTTAAAACTGACTCAATTAAATATGTATTAATCGATTACACAGGTATTTAATGGATTATATGACTTCAATTCATGTTTTTATACTATGCATTAATAATCGATTATATTGTCACTTAATCGATTATGTGACTACATATTTGTTTTGATATCACAGCTAATAATCGTTTGGTCATAGGATTATGTATTTTAAGGTGAAATCTTGTCTTTTCTTTTTATGAATCTTTATTGTTTATTGATGTTTGTGATGTGACTGTTAAGTGGTAAAAGTTAATGTAATTATGCTTTTAATTATTATGTAACCACTTAAATTATATTGATTTTAATATATTTTTCTTCCAATGTAGGATGAATTGGTAGAATACCTTGATACAAGAGTAAAGATCATAATTGTAAAGATAATTGATGAAAAAGTAAAAGAAAGAAGAAGATTTTTAATTGGAAATTCGCTCGAGCGCCATCTACACTCGTTTGAGGAATATACGTTAAAGCTCTCGAAAGTTCACTCGCTCAAGCGTCTTCCATTCTCGCTTGAGTGAAAATACGACAAACCTCTCGGATGTGTAATCGCTCAAGCGACATCTACTCTTGCTTGAACGAAAATACGACAAAGTTCTCGGGTTTATTCTCGCTCAAGCGAACATTTCTCGTTTGAGTGAAAGTTACTGTCTTTTGCTCAAGCGAATAATGGGTCGCTTGAGCGAATGATGCGAGACCCGACCCAAATTTTCCTATAAAAAGATAAGATGTGTTTTGTGATGTAATTTTAGGTTTTGGAAGAATAGGCACGACTGTTGTTCTATTCTTCAAGGATTCTTCAAACATTATTCAATTCTTCCTCATAGAGCATTGTAATGGCCACCATGAGTGTCTAACTTCATTCTCTTAGGATTGAGTGCACTTTCTTAAAACTCTTTTGTATCATGTGATATTTTGAGATATTAATCTATGTTTTGATGTTGTTATTCTTATTTTTTGTGCTTTGGAATTATTTATTCTTGATGTTTGGGATATGATTGGAAAATATATCTTGAAACCCTAGATCAAGTAAGAATATTTGCTACGTTAATTGCCAAGAATGGAATGAATGTATCAAGTGCTTAACACCCTAAACCAAATGCTGGAAAATTTTTTAACTGTGTGAGGAATCGATGTTTATCAGGTTTTCTTATGAATTTCACATGCGAGGAATCAAAGTGAATGATTTGAGTAGGTGGCACCAACATTGATAAGTTAATTGATGTTTTTAATTTGACCTAGCCATTATGCAAAAGAGGGAAAAGGAAAGAAGTCAATCCTAAGTTCTTTTATTTGATATTTTTTACAAACATTTAACAATTCTTTGTCATTTATTTTGAAGTCAAATCTTTATGAAAACCCAATTCTGTTTCAATATACTTAGTAAGCATATGATTTGGAATTTCCATTGAAATCGTTCCTCGTGGGATCAAATTTTATTTAATCAAAATACTATACTGCGATTGATAATTTTGGTACGCTTGTCAAATATTCAACAAGTATTTCTGGCGTCGTTACCGGGAAACAACGAATCTTGGAAAATTTGTGTCTAGCTTATTGAGTATTGTGAATATTTTGATTTTAATTATTTCTTTTTATTTTGTTTTTTTTTCTGTGCTAATTATTGCTTGAGTTGCTCTTTGATTTATGCTCTTAAGAGGACAGGTATCCACAGATCAGTTAGAGTTCAATCCTGAAATTGAAAAGACTGTTCGAAGGAACCATGGTAGAAGAAGAAGAGAAAATCAATAACAAGTAAGAGGAGAATCTATTAACCCTTCTCTTACACTCAACTTACTAGATTCAATCATAGAAGACATGACGGAGGAAGGAGCAAATCTAAATCCAAATCCACCTAGAAGAACACTCAGAGACTATGATATGCAAAAAGGTCTGAGACACTTCTCCAGCATTACAATACCAGCCAACCAAACATTGGAGATAAAGTTAGCCTTCTTAAGCTTGATTAGTACTCATCAATTCATTGGAATGGATCATGAAGATCCCTATATTCACTTGTCTACTTTTTATGAGTTGATTGGTACCATGGGATTTAGAGAAATAGATATTGAATCTGCATACTAGAGATTATTTCCTTTTTCATTGGTTGGCAGGGCAAAAGAGTGGTTGAAAGTACATCCTAATCAGAGTTTGACTAGCTGAGGTAATGTAGAAGATAAGTTCCTGAACAGATTTTTTCCATCATCCTGCTACATCAAAGCAAAGTTCGACATTTCTACTTTCAGACAAGGAGTGGATGAACCCTTTTGTGAAGCATGAGAGAGATTTAACTCACTGTTGAGAAGATGCCCAAATCATGGATTTGAAGACATTGCTCAATTGAACATTTTCTGTACTGGCTACGACCTGATACAAAGATGTTATTAGATGTTGCAGCATGAGGAGCCATGATGGATGTAAACATCAAACATACCACAAGAATTATTGATGCACTAGCCTCTACAGACCAACAGGCTCAACATGATAAACATCCGGTTCGGAGGAAAGGAGTACTTGAGCTTAGCACATCAAATTCTCTCTTAGCCCAGAATAAAATTATAACCCAACAGATTAAAGCATTGACCCAGCAAATGGCGAAACTACCTCAACAATTGCATGCACTACAATTCACTCCTAACCAATAGATGAGTTGTGACTTTTGTGGAGGTGATCATCCAAATGGACACTGCTCTTATCAAGGCAACCTATAAGAAGAAGAAGCTCATTATATGGGTGCTCAAAGTAATAGTGATCAAGGAAGACAAACAATTTTTCCTAATTCCAATAACTATCAGAATAATTTTTCACAAGGATGGAGAGGAAATCATAATCATAATTTTTTATGGAAGCAAGGTGTTGGTACATCTAATAGACAACCTCCAAATCAACAACAATCATAT